AGAAGGAGAAGGAGAAGAAGGAGAAGGAGAAGGAGAAGGAGAAGAAGAGGTGTGAAGGGGTGCCTGGCACAGTGGTACATGCCTTTAACCCCAGCACTCAGGGAGGCAGAGGCAAGCAGATCTCTGTGACTTCAAGACCAGCCTGGTCTACAAGGGGAGTCCAGAACAAGGCTACACAGAGAATCCCTGTCAAGAAAATAATACAAAACCAAAGGCAGAGGATAGCTGGGTCACTGAAGGGAGCCGGATGGGGTTCCAGTGTGTAAAGGGAAGGACTGAGAGGCTGTCACACCTTATCTATGTAACTCCGACCCAGCTCCTTCACTTCCTGAAAATGGACTTGGGTTTGGGCCTGGCTCTTCTTGCCCATCCGCCTCCGACAGCGCTTCCGGTAGAGACAGAAACAGCTGCTGAAGACCAGGAGGCTTGAGCCCAGCACGATGGCTGCCAGGACCCAGGCAGGCACTGTAGAAGGATGGACACAACATGCATCAAAGCTCGGGGAAATCGGCTGGCTAACTAAGTATTTATTCCATACGACAGCTTTAATGGTAGCCTGGATTTTCCTCTAGCCAATTCTATTCCATTTTAATCCCATTTTTTCTTTCCAACCAATCTCATCTCTAAAGCTCAATTGCTGCCCTAACCCAAACTGACATGATTTGTTTTCTTATAATCCTGATGTCTCTACAGCTATCTTAATTTCTGCTCAACCCAGACTTCTTTGAGAAGGCTCACTCCTGGGCCTCAGTTTCACCCACTTATGACCCCACTCCATGCCACACTCTTGCTCCACTTCTGGTTTTCCTCTTAGATCTGTCTCTCTGTTTCACTATTTCAGATTCTAGTCTGGGATACCGACCCACGAACCCTGTCAGATTTTCCTGCCTATCCACCCAAGTGTGCATCTGAGTCCTGGCCCCGGGAATCCAGCCAGGCTTTTCTTGAGGACTAGCCCAGGGCTTCCTCACCTGTGGCCTGCCTGATGCGGCTGGAGTCTGGAGGTGTCTCAGGCGCTGGAGACCCCAGGGTCGGGGGTTCCGGGAACATGGCGTCGAGGTCCTGCAGTGCTTTCTGCAGAGGTACCCAAGTACCCTATCCCCCCCCCCCCCCCCCCACCAAAACATCCAGTGAGGTTTCCATGCATCAAAGAACCCCACATCCCATTGGTGCATACTGGGAGTTAGTCTCAACCTCTCCAAGCCTAGGGCCGGTTTTGGGGGACCCAATTCCATTACAAAGAGACACTCCCTCTCTGTAGGCAACCCCAACCATCCTCCTCTACGCTTTCCTCGCCCTTCCCAAAGGCTTGAACCGGAAGAAGGCGAAGGCAGGCGTGGGAACCAGCAGACCACTGTTGCCCAGAGCGACCGCCAGGCTCCAGTCAGGGTGATAGCAAGGCTGGTTGCTGGGTAACGAGCCTGTTGCCAAGACAACGGGAGGGACTGACGCACAGAAATGAAGACCGGGCGGTGCCGGTGCCTGGGACCCAGGACGGGGGATACCACCGCCCAGCCAGGGTACTTGAGGGCGGCCTGTGATCTGTGCGTCTACAGCGGCTCCTCCCTCCGCATCTGACCCCTTGCTGAGGTGGGGGACCTGTCCCGGCACCTCTGTCGGGCCCCATATCCTCTGGCTCACGAGTCTCTCCCCAGCACCCTGACTGTCTTCACACCTGTTCTCTTGGTCTCCACTTCTCTCTCGACCCTAGAAGGGCATCTTCCCTGTGGTGTCCCCACATCCTTCTCTGGTCCGTGTCTCTGCGGCCCTCTGTTGTCTGGCCTCTTGTCTGGTCTCTCTTGGTCTCTCTCTGCTTTCTGCCTATCAGCCTGTCCTCTTTGTCTCCACACCTGTCTCTCTTCACATAACCTGCCGCTCAGAGGCAATCCTTGTCGGCAACCCTCCATCCAATACCCACCCCTACCCCTCCCACACACCTTGGTCCCTCTGAGAATAGAACTGAGTACGTGGCTTGGACAGAGGGTCCCAACAGCTCCTACCTGCTAGGTGGCGGACAGGACCCTCCCGGAGGTGCCGAGTCCTGGGCTGCCGGGACCCCGCCCCCAGCACGTGGGTGGATGGCGCTGCCTCTGTGCTGCTCGCGGAGCTCGGCGGGGTGGGGGCGCGGCTGAGTCAGCCAGGCTGATGCCTGTGCCCCTGTGTGAACGCGCGCACGTGAGTGTATGTGTGCATATGTGTGCGTGCGTGTTCTGCCGGGGAGAAAGGAGAAAGCCCTGCTCCGCCCCTCAGCCCGCCACACCCGAGAACCACCATGGCGCCCACGTACGTTGATCTTAGTACCCTAGAAGGTTCTGACGTCTGGCTAAGTCATCAGACATCTACACTGAGCACCAGCCTCCGCAACACACACACACACACACACACACACACACACACACACACACACACACCGCTTGTTACAATACAAATAACCAGACTCTAGAGCACTCGTTTTAGGACCCATCCATGAGAAGCCCCTCTGGAGACCCAAGTACTCAGCAACCCAGACTCTCGAGGTAAGAAATAAGAGCCGCCAGCATCTTTGCTCTCGGACACCCTTTTCTCCTGACCAGTCCCTAGAAGGGAGCACTTACACCCCTGGCTGCAGCCAACACAGAACCTATACTTCTGTGAATGTGTGTACGTGCGCCCGTGAGCTGTTTATAGTAGTGCACGTCCAGGTGTGAGCGCATGTGTGTGAAGGTCAGAGACAACTTTGCATGTTTCTCCTCAGGTACCATCCACCTTTACAAAAGGTGGATCTGCCATTTTACACATAAAATTGCCTCCATTACACACTGAAATAAACATCCCTATTGCCCTATAATCATAACTATATATTACTCATAATCTTTACTATTCTTACATTGAAGGAAAAATCTTCACAGTGTACTGCTGCAGGTATGTCTTCCCTTAGGGCCTGCTGAACTTTAAAAAAATACCATCTAGCATCCAGTGACAACTGTCAGCCATTTCCTCATTCCATCTTAAATGCTTTCATATTCAGATAATAAAACTATTGTAACTGCCATCCTGTGCTTAAGTTCTGACTGGAGAAGATATACTCTCAACAGCCACCACCCATTTGGCTAAAAGATTGTCCACTTTTTAAATTACCTAGCCAGGTGTGGTGGTGCATGCCTTTAATCCCAGCACCCGGGGGGAGGCAGAGGCAGGGGGATCTCTGGTCTATGTAGTGAGTCCAGGACAACCAAGACTACACAGAGAAACCTGGTCTGGAAAAACCAGAAAAAATACATTACATTATATTTATTTGTGTGGGGGAGTGGGCATGTGTGAGTCAGAGGACAATTTGAAGGCACTGGCTCTCTCCTTTCGCCGTGGGGACCTGGGACTTGAACTCAGGTCATCGGGCTTCACAGGAAAGTCTTTTCCAACTAAGCTATCTCAGCGTCCTCATCCATCTGGTCTCTCCCTGGCTTAGACACACTGAGTAAGCTTGGCCGGATACCCCGAAAGCCCCGGGGACCTTCCTGCCTTTGCCCCCTCCCTTCTGCCACTACAAGCAAGCCCCATGACACCCAGCATTTTCCACATGGGCTCTGAGGCCCAAACTCACTTTAGCAACTGGACTATCCTCCCAGCCCAAATCATTCTATTCTAGGGTGGTGAAATATAATGTGCTCCTAAAGTTTCCTCCATAGGTGTTTGCTCAGTCTTTAAGATCTTTAAGGAACCCCTCTCCTACCCCAATATTATCTTCTAGAGATAAATAAATAAATAAATAAATAAATAAATAAATAAATAGATAGATAGATAAAAACCACTTTCAGTGGGAAGAGTTTAATAAATTATACAGAAGGAAATAATGTGCAGACATGGGGCACGGGGAAACCACAAGCAGAGGAACTCCCTTCAGACCCCGATTAAAGGAGACTGGTTTGGTTTCTAAAGTAAAAAGGGGGCAGTTACCCACTTGCCTTTACTCCTCAGGCAGCAGAATTCTAGACCCTGATTCCTTCTTCTGACTCCAGGGTCCAGCCTGTTTCTTTGAGACCCTGGATACCCAGGCCACACCCACCTCCGCTCAAGGAACAGAACCTGCCACCCCAGGCTCCCAGCCCCCAGGCTCACAAGTTGAAGTACATCAGACTCTTCCTGCCCTTGGACAAGAGGAGAGAGGCATCCAATGGTCTTCTACCACAGGGATGGAGATGCTGGGCCTCCAACCCTCATTTGTCTTGGAGGTCCAGGTATCTGGGCTCCAGCATGGGTCCAGATCTGGCCTGAGTATGTCTGTGTGTAGGCTCAGCACCCAGAAGCGGAAACCTCAGAGTCATGGGCTCTGATGGCAGCTGCATTCTCATAGATGAGGCTGGCCACATTCTCATACACTGGCTCCTTCGGGACGAGGTCCGGAGCTGACTTCTGGAGGGATCTCAAGATGCACTGGTGGAGGAACACATACTGGGCCTGGGGAGGATGCAGAGGGATGAAGGATGCTTCTTGGAGGGTCCCCCCCCCCCACCCATGCTGTGCCCCGGAGCTCCCTCACCTCTGTCTGCACCATCAGTGGCCGGCTCTCTCTCATCCTCTTCACGAAGTTGAAGGGACCCACCAGCCCCTCACACTCCAGCTGCCGGAGCAGGACATCCAGTGCAATGAGGGTGCCTGTCCGGCCCACCCCGGCACTAGGCAAGGGACAAGACAGGGGTCAAGCCTCCAAGGGAGGGAAGTCTGGAGTTCTAGGTGCTGAGATTGCATGGTTTTACAGCACTCAGAGAGTGTGGCACTCCGCAAGACAGTTTAAATCGGGGACTATGACACAAGTGGCTGAGGCTAGGGTTTTCTGTATCCGTTGGCCATCTGTTGTGATCTCTGCTCCATCTTTTCACTGATCCCAAGCATGGAAATAAGATGTAGCAGCACACCCACTGTACAGGTGGCGAAATGAAAGCTGAGGAAGGCAAGTCATGTGTCCCATGCCATACAGCTAATAATGGGTCTGGAAGAACACCTAAACAAATTGGTTTTGTGATTTTGTTGTTTTTGTTTTGTTTTTCAAGACAGGGTTTCTCTGTATACCCCTGGCTGTCATGGAACTCTCTCTGTAGACCAGGCTGGCCTTGAACTCAGAGAGATTTGCTTGCTTCTGCTTTTTGAGTGCTGGAACTAAAAGCATGCACCACCCCTCAGACAGGGGTTTTTCAAAACAGGGTTTCTCTGTATACCCCTGGCTGTCCTGGGAACTAACTCTGTAGACCAGGCTAACCTAGACCTTAGATATCCACCTGCCTCTGCCTCCCAAGTGCTTGGATTGCAGGCATGCCACCATGTCCAGCCCAAAACCACTTCTAAATTTTTTATTTTGCTTTTAATTATATAATTAAAGTGTGCCTGTCCATGACAGGTTCTGAGACCCTGGGGACAGAGATAGAGCTCTCCTATAGAGAGGCTTCTAGGTGGCACTCACCTGCAATGCACAATGGGCAGGCCTCCATCCATGGTGTGGTCCAACCATTGCCGAAGCACCTTTTGGAAAGCCAGCAAGGGGTCTGGGGAGTAAGGAACTCCATGATCTGGCCAGGCCAGGTAGTGGAATTGGCGCACAGAGAGAGTCTGCTGCTCCTCCATCTGAAAGAAGTGAGAGCAAAGGAGGGAGAGTGCAGAGGTCCCAGAAGTTTCTATGCCTAATGGGGCTTCTCTGGGACACGTACTACATGGACACTTTTTGAGGAGTTCTGGGTGGGGTTGGAAGGACTCACGTGGAAGAGCTGAAGATCCCTCACTGCCCAGTTCTCTGTCACCTCCTCACTTATCAGCGTCACCTGCAGCTGCCCATGAGTGCAGGGCTGAGCATCCAGAGGCCAGTAATGCTCACACTTCACCTGGACAGGGACAGTCAGAAAACAGAGGACAGTGCACTCTGTGTGTGTGTGTGTGTGTGTGTGTGTGTGTGTGTGTGTGTGTGTGCACGCGCGCGCCTGTGTGGGGTGTGTGTGCATGTGTGTTTCTATGTCTGTCTGTCTGTGTATGGTGTGTCTGTGTGTATATGTGTATGCATGTACCCACGTGTGTAGGTACACTGTGGGGAGGGAATATGCCAGGTGTGCGTGTGGATGTGGGCGCTTGAGGCTGATCTTGGGGGTCTTCCTCACCCACTCTGTACTGAACTCTCTGAGGCAGGGTCTCCCACTGAACACAGAGCTTCCCTGATAGAGCTAGTCTGGTTGGCCTGCTTGGCTCAGAGGTTCCATTTCTCTGCCTTTTGAAGACTAGAATTCCCAGTGAGTCACTATTCTCACCTGGCGTTTGTGTGGTCCTGATGCTTACATGTCAAGTTCCTTATCTGCTAAGCCATCTCCCCAACCCTGGGAACAAGACACCTTTGCCATGTTGTCTTTTTTCTTTCTTCCTGAGAGGATGTCACATAGCAAATGCTGGTCTTGAGCTTGATTTCAAGTCAAAGATTATTTTGACTTCTGATCCACCAGCTTCCACCTCCAGAATTCTGGGATTATAGGTTTGTACTGCCTCACAGGTTTATACAGTGCTATTAAGCAAAAACAAGCCTCTCATATGAGTGTTCATTTATTTTCATACAGTATCCTACCTATATAAATGCCTACATGCCAGAAGAAGGCACCAAATTTCATTATAGATGGTTATGACCCACCATGTGGTTGCTGGGAATTGAACTCAGGGCCTTTGGAAAAACAGCCAGTGCTCTTAACCTCTAAGCCATCTCTCCAGCCCCATATGAATATTCTAATCAAGGTGAAAATGGCAACAAGAGAGGACTTATGGGTGCCAGGTCTAATAGATTCACACCAGTCAAGAGGACCCCTTAATCCTTAATTAAGCCTGTCGAGCCTTGACATAGTTTGACTGTGCCTCCACTCAAAATTTATATACTGAGAGCTTCATTCCCAAATTCATACATGAATGGTATTTGGAGATAGGATCTATGGGAAGAAACTAGGATTAAATGTTGTCCTAAGGGTAAGGCCCTCAAGATGGTATTCGTGATTGTATATGGCGAGGAAGAGAACTGGCACACTGGCTCAGCCTCACCATTGTACTCCCATCTTGTCATGTTGGAGGAAGAAGACCCTCCCTAGAAGCCAGAATCACTCTCTCGAACACATCCCACTCTCCAGAAGCAAAAGCTACATGAACCTTTGTTCTCTATAAAATATCCAGTCTGTGGCATTGCCTCACCACAGCAGAACATGAACCAAGACACACACACACACGGACCTGTGGACCTTCGGAGGGTGGCTGAGGGATGGGTGCGTGTTGAAGACTGCTGGAGTTACATTGCAGAGATGCAGAGGTATGTAGAAGGGACTGCACAACGTTAGTGTCCAGGTTGGGCAGTGCTCAAGGGTTACCTCTAGGACAGAAATCTCTCACCCGTCCAGACTCCATGCAGTTGGTCAGCATGACCACGGTGTGGCTCCGCTGCTCCCACACCAAACGCCAGAAATCACTCACAGTGTGAGGCAGGGGACCCTGGGTTGCAATGAACTCCTTGGGGCTCCAGAGACCCTAGTTGAAGAAAGCAGGCATACCAAGGGGAGGTTGTCAGATGACCACCATCCCTTTCAGCTCTTTATCTCTCCAGGCTCACTGAGTGCCCCCCTGCCACCTTACAGGTATGAAGCTAGCGTTGATATAGTCGGAGCCTGGTTCTTCATGGCGGGGCTTCAGGGGAACCCGGGACCAGTCATCTAGGAGAACACAACAGCATGAGTAATGAGAAGAAGGCTGTGAGAGGGGCTGCAGAGACAGCTCAGCCGGTAAAGGGACCTCAGTTGAAGATCCAGAACCTACATCAAAAAGCCAGGCATGGTAGTGTGTGCCTATAACCCCAGCACTAGGGAGACAGACAGGAGGATACCTTAGGCTCTCAGGCCAGCCAGACTTGGTGAGTTCCAGATCAGTGAAAACAGAGTCTCCAAAAACAACGTAGGGCTGGGTACGTGGCTCAGTACAGTGCTTGACTAATCTGTAAAAAGCCCTGGGTTGGAGCCTCCCCACTATATAAACTATGTGTGGTGATGCCCATCATCTAAGTACTTGGGGGTAGAGGTGGGAGGATCAGAAGTCCAAGATTGGCTGGGTGGTGGTGGCAGAGGCAGGGAGATCTCTGCGTCTACAGAGCTAGTTCCAGGACAGCCAAGATAGCTCAGCCGGTAAAGGCATATGTCAGCAAACCTGATGAGCTGAGTTTGGTCTCTGGTACCCACATGGAGGGAGGAGAAAACTGACTCATGCAGGCTACCCTCTGACCTCCATTGTATGCTGTGGCATGCATGCCACACCATAAATAGGTCAACTGACTGACAGACAGATAGACAGACAGATGTGAAAAACAAAACAAGCAAACAAAAATCATGGTGCTCGAGAGATGGCTTAGTGGACAAGAGAAGAGCATTTTCTGCTCTCAAGTTTAGTTCCCAACATTCACGGCAGGTAATGCACAATTGCCTGAAATTCAGCTCCAGCTGAATCAAAACTTCTGGTCTCCATGGGCACCCATATACACATCATACACGTGTGCGCACACATATGCACGTATACACACAAAGAATAAACATCTAAAAATAAATTTAAATATTTTGAGTGGCTAGTCACTGAAGAAGGTACTTGAGGTTGCAAACTAACGCAAACCAGACTTATGCAAACCAGCATATACATGCATGAACACACACACATATGTGAGAGAGAGAGAGAGAGAGAGAGAGCACCCAGGATCGGGGTTCTGGCTGACTCCATGGGAGGCAGATGAAGGTGACAAACACCAGAGACTCACAAGGCAGTACATTCCTGAAGCGGTTCTTGGATGTGTTCTCTGGAGCCAATGCTACCATCTGAGACTGGCCTTGTCCCTCCAGAGCCAATTGCTACAGGCAGAGAGACAGAGAGGAGATTCAAGGTGTTGGATTGCCTTTGCCTTCCTCCAGTGCCCTCACGACTCCATGTGCCTTCTTCTGTTTATCCTTTGAATGTTGGGACTCTTTAGCACCCATAAACAATGGTGATACGTGACCTCCAGCTTGGGGGTACTTGTAAGGGTTTAGTGGAAGCTGGAGGCTTCCTCAGACAGATGTCCTGGGAAAGGTATCAGGGAGTCTGTGTGTTATGAAGCCAAGTATCCATCACTGTTTTAGGGGTTCCAAGAGTTGGAAAGAAACATGCTTGACAGTTTTAGTATGATTAAAAGAGGCAGGCTGGGGATGTGGCTCTCCGTTGGTAGAGTGCTTGCCTAGCATGCTCAAGGTCCTGGATTGGATCCCCAGGCACAGCATAATTGCAGGAGCATACCTGCAATGCCAGCACTTAAGAGGTCATGGGGAAGGGCTCTAAGCACAAGGTCAATTTTGGCTATGTGGTGTGATGTAGGCCAGCCTGGAGTACATGAGAGAGACTCTGTCTCAAAAAGGAGGTGAGGTTTATAGATGATCTATGGGCAGTTGACAGTTGCTGGAGAAGGAAGACATTGTCTTCATTGGTAAGTTGCCCATGCTTTAGCCAGCCTCAGTCAGTGTTCATGACACTGAGACAGGAGAAACACCAAGAGCCAGCCAAGACTCCATAATGAAACGTTGCCTCTAAAATAATAGGACAAGCGTGGGGGTGGCAGCCAGCTCTTCATGCCTCTGCTCTCACCCACCTGATACTCCTCAGCAAATCCATAGTTGCTGTCCTTCTCATTCTCCTTGATGTGCTCAGCAAAGTCTTTGGCCAGGATATCCCCTGGGAAGCTGTGGCAGGAAGAAAGGTAAAAATACAAATGAATAAAAATGAAGACTTGGGCTGGAGAGATGGTTCAGTGGTTAAAAGCACTGGCTGCTCTTCCAGAGGTCTTGAGTTCAATTCCCATCAACCACATGACAGCTCACACTCATCTTTAACAGGATCTGATGCCCCTTTCTGGCATGCAGGCATACAGACAGAGTGCTCATACATAAAATAAATAAATAAATAGATAAATAAATAAATAGTGAAATAAAAATACTCTAAGCCCCTTGGAGCTGGCAAGCTGTCTCAGCCAGTCCTAACACAATGCCCGACTGCTTGAGTTTCATCCTTGGAAGGAGAGCAGTGACTCCCTTGGGCTGTCTTCTGACCTTCACATATCACATCCTCTCCATGAAATGAAAAAGCAAATGAAGCCGCGTCCATCTGGGAGCCAGAGGCTGGCAGATGTCTGTCTGAGGCTGGCTTGGCCCACAGAGTGACTTACCATGAGTTGATGTAGCAGCGCCCTAAGGAACCCTCCAAAGAAGAGGGCGTCAAAGGTTATCGACTCACGAGCACACAGCAGCCCAAAGCTGCAAGCAACACGAGCGCCCATCGCTGGCATAGACATTACCAATGGAAAGCCCAGTGTTCAGAGCACTGAGGCAGGAGGAGAATCAAGAGTTCAAGGCCAGCCAGCACTACATAATGAAACCTTCCCTCTGAAAAATAGGACAAGAATCCCAGTGGTGACCTACACCTTTAATCCCACCTTTAATTCAGGAGGCAGAGGCAGGTGGATCTCTGTGAGTTCAAGGCCAGCCTAGACTACAGAGAGAATTCCAGAACAACCAGGGCTACAAAGAGAAACTCTATCTTAAAAAGAAGAGGAGGGGGAGGAGGATGAAGAAGAGGAAGAGGAACAAGAGGAGGAGGAGGAGGAGGAGGAGGAGGAGGAGGAAGAGAAGGAGGAGGAGGAAGAGAAGGAAGAGAAGGAGGAGGAGGAAGAGAAGGAAGAGAAGGAGGAGGAGGAGGAAGAGGAGGAGGAGGTGGCTAAGGATCAGTAAGACAGCTCAGCAAGAAAAGTCACTAACCGATAAACTTGATGACCTGAGTTTGATCCCTAGGACCGACGTGGTGGAAAGAGAGACCCAGCTCCTTCCATACACACGCACACACACATATGCACACCACAAGCATGCATACACACCATACAAAAATTAAAACTTTTAATGGGCCAAGAGCTATCACCAAGTGTCCATCAGTGAACAAATGGATAAACTAAATGTGGTCTAGCCATACAATGGAGTATTGTTCAGCTTTAAAAGGATGGGGCTGGAGAAAGGACTCAGTGGTTAAGAGTACTGGCATCTCTTCCTGAGGACTTGAACAGCCACATAATGATTCACAACCATCTGCAATTCCAGTTCCAGAGGACCTGGCCGGCTTTTCTATCCTCTTCAGGTATCCATGCAGACAAAACAGCCTTCTCCATAAAAAATAATAAAAAATTTGAAAACAAACAGAAAACCTCTCCAAACTCTCCTCTCAGAAATAAACTGACAACCTCCCCCCCCCCCCCCCCCCCCCCCCCCGAACCGGCCCCCCCCCCCCCCCCCCCCCCCAAGGCTCCACCGGATGGAGCACCCGCCTACCACGTCGCTGATACTGCTTCCTAACACTCTTCCCTGCCTTCACCCCGTGTACGGAGACTGGTCTTAGTCCTGGACAGAGTAACTCCACTTTGCGACCACTTATGTGTTCTTTAGATGAGACTTCCATAACACAAAATTCCATAACACAAACCGCCCCACAGTCTGACCATTTTCTGAGGCTGCCGGAGTCCCTGCCTGCAAACTTTCCCAGCCGGTGGCGTCCTGTGTGCTCGTCCTTACTGCGGCCTGCAGTAACTCTTGCTGCTTGAACACACGGGGGCGCTCAAGGCCTGGGTTTGCATCCTTCCTGCTCGAAATTGTCACAATCTACAAGTTTGCCTGGTGACAGGCGCACGCATGATGGTGACTCTTGGAGAATGGAGCCGTCTTTCATGCAAGGCTCTGTAGGTAATCCCCAGCAGACTCACTCACACATCGAGCTGCGCTTTTCTGAGTCCTTTGAGCTTCCACTGTCGTCCCTTGTTTGGAAGCATGTCCCTCTTAAATTCACAGGACACACCCAGCTTCCTTCATTTCTGTGCTCACGTTCTTTGTAAGTGGCTTTGCCTTTCCTCAAGCAGCTTTTCTTCCTTCCTTCCTTCCTTCCTTCCTTCCTTCCTTCCTTCCTTCCTTCCTTCCCTCCCTCCCTCCCTCCCTCCCTCCCTCCCTTCTTCCTTCCTTCCTTCCTTCCTTCTCCTCCTCCTCTTCTTTTATTTATTTATTTATTTGTTTGTTTGTTTGTTTATTTAGAGGAAGAATGTCCCTGTAGTATAGCCCTGGCTGTCTTGAACTTACCTCGTAGACCAGGCTGGCCTCACCGAGATCTGCCTGCTTCAGCCTCCCTGAGAGCCAGGATTAAAGATGTTCGGCACACTGGACTACTCCCTCCTCTAGTTTTATTGCCCTGTCTAGAATGTTCCTCAACTTCTGTCTCCTCTCCACACATAGAGCAGTCTACATTATCTTGCTTTTTAGTGATCCCTGGTAGGAGAACACAAGTTGAGTTTGATTCCCAAGACCCACACGTAGCAACTCTCATAAGTGGTCCCCTGACCTCTTCACATGCACTGTGGTATGTAGGCACACACAGGCAGACAAATAAATAGATGATAGATGGGTGGCTGGACAGACAGACAGACAAACAGAAAGTAAATGCAAAACATTTAGGATGAGACTGGAGAGATGGCTCAGTGGTTAAGAGAATTGGCTGGTTTTCTAGAGGACTCAGGTTCAATCCCAGCACCCATACCCACATGGCTGCTCACAACCATCTGTAACTCTAGTTTTAGTGGGGTCTAATGCTCTCTTCTAGTCTTCAAAGGCACCAAGACTGTGTGTAGTAACAGATATATATGCAGACAAAACATTCATATACATAAAATAATTTTTTAAAAAATTGGACTGAATATGACCAAACCATATTACATACAATCATAAAATTCTCAAAGAATAATAAATAAAAAATTTAAAGATTAAAAAGAATTGACTTGAGGCTCTGCCTCCATGAATGAGCTGTGGCCTGTTGAGGGGGTGGGGTCACAGTCACTCCTGAGGCTTCAGTGAGCACAGGTATGGCTCTGCCCCCTGACTTAGCTGGCTGTAACTCCCTCAGACCGTGATTCCCCAACCTCACTCACCTGGACACCAGAGCCTTGGGCACTTCCTTTGGCTGCCTCATCTTTCTTCTGAAAGAAAGACTCTGTAAAGCTCAGGCAGGAGCCCAGGACCAGGGAGCCTCGTTCTGAGCTCCCGCCAGCTAAGCATCCTGCAGTCTTGTTTCCAAGTCTCACCTCCTCTTCAGGAAGAAAATCAGCAGGCCCACAAGGATGAAAAGCAGAAGGGTGCCCACGATGGCTCCAGCAATGACCCCTGCAGTGAGACGAAAAGGGAGAGAAACTGATGGTGATGGTGAGGATGTGTACATGGAGTGTGTGAGCCATGTGTGACATGGCACACGTGTGTAGAAGTCAAAGAACAACTCTTCGTGTAGTCAATTTTCTCTTTCACTATGAGGATCCCAGGAATCGAACTTAGTTCCCTAGTCTTGGATGGTATGTATCTTTACCTGATGAGCCAGCTCTTATCTACCAATTTTCTGTCTCCGTCCTTAGCTGGCTCTGCGTTGAGAGGCCCATAGTGAGGACGAAGAAAAGGGAAAAGATAGTCCTTCTCAGCAGACCCCTGGATCCAGCCACAGAGCCAAATGCATTATTTTGTTTAAATGTACACATTTATTTATTTATTTCCTATCTCTCTCTGTGTATGCATGTATGCATGCCACAGTGTGTCTGTGGAGGTCAGAGGACACTCTGAAGGAGTTGGTTCTCTTTTACCATGTGAATCCCTGGAGTTGGAGCTTGGCAGCAAGCCCCTTCACCGTACAATCCATCTGGCCAGCTCAAATACATTTCTTCTTTTGAATGTGTGTGTGTGTGTGTGTGTGTGTGTGTGTGTGTGTGTGTGTGTGTAGCTGTGTACATGTGAGAACAAGTGTCATTAGAGACCAGAAGAAGGCATTGAATGCCCTGGAGGTAGAGTTCTGTGGAGGAATGAGGCTGATACGGGCACTGGGAAACAAACTCAGCTCTTCTGCAAAAGCAGTATGTACTCTTTTCTGGGCACCATGGCTCAGGCCTTTAATCCCAGCACTAGGGAAGCAGGGGCAGGAGGATCTCTGTGAGTCCAAGGCCAGCCTGCTCTACACAGTGAGTTCCAAACCAACCAAGGCTACATACTGAGACCCTGTCTCAAAAAGCAACAAACAAACAAACAAAAAAAGAGTATGTGTTTTTAACTGCCGGACTATCTCTCCAACCTCCTAAATACATAATTTCTAAACTGAACCTAACAGTAAAGCATAACATTGCTTTCTTTGGCCTGACTAGTAGTTCCCCATGGGGACATGGCTCAACATTTGGAGGCATCTTCAGTTGTCACAAATTGCTGGTGGGGCATTACTGGCCTCGGACTGCTCAGTGCCACACACAGAGAGGGCTGCCCACCAAAGCAGTGAAGAGGGTCCAGGAAGCCTTCACAGGTGAAGAAACCATTCTATCTTAGTTTCACTCCCTGTCACCGTGAGAAAAACACCCTGACAAAAGCAACTTAAGCCAGGTGGTGGTGGCCCACACCTTTAATCCCAGCACTAGGGAAGCAGGGGCAGGAGGATTTCTGAGTTTGAGGTCAGCCTGGTCTACAGAGTGAGTTTCAGGACAGCCATGGCCACACAGAGAAAATAGAAAGCAACTTAAAGACAAAGATTACCCTGCATCCCTATGGGGAAGTCTAGGTAGTGTGAACTTGACATAGCTAGTCATGTCATATCCACAGTCAAGAGGGAAGAGCCGTGAATTCGTGCATGCCACTGCTCAGTTTACTGTCTCCATTCCTACATACTCTATGATTCCCTGCTCAGGGACTGGTGCCACCCAGAGTGGGCAGGACTTCCAGTACTCAAGACATCCCACCCCTCAACAACAGGGCCACCCACCGGATAGCCTAATCTAGACAATCTCTCACTGAGACCCCTGACCCCTTCTCAGATAACTCTAGGTTGTGTCAAGTTGACAGTTAAAGCCAACCATCACACACTCCCTCATCCTCACAGCATCTGTTCTCCTGAGGATAGGGGCTTGGTTCACTCTGAGCTTTCCCAAGAGAAAAGTCTTAGCTGTGGACCTCAACTGGCATCTAGTAGTACGCAAGACCTTGGTTGTTCCTAGGCCCTGATGGGCACAGTTCTCCTAGGATCTGTCCTGAGATACCAAGTATAGAAGAAACTGTCTCCATGAGCCTTGGAAGGCCAAGGCTGCAGCTACCCAGCAGCCCTGGTTGTAGAGAGCTGGTGGTCCAGTAGGAATATAAGTCCTTTATGAACCTCACCAACTTGGTCCTCCAGCATTCAGCAAGAGACTTTGTCCCCTCCAAGATTCTAGTTTCCTAAAAGAGAAATACTCCCAAGGAACAGAACGGGGCAAAGTAAACTTCAAGAAGCATATAATTAACACTGCATCTACCTCGCTGTCTCTCCAGAATGGTCACCTAGATTACTAGGGGCCCTGATTCCTAGGAAGAGACAGAGTGGGCAGAGTGAAACATACATCCAAAAGGTCATGGTAGGGCCAACAAGATGGCTCAGCTGGTTAAGGCTTGACTTCCATAGTGCATGCTGGCATGTGCGCACCACGCACAGACTAATAGATAGGTGGAATAAAATGTTTAAAAGAAATATTAGATAAAAATTAGAGAATGGCTCAGGGTTAAAAGCACTGGCTGCTCTTCCAGAGAATCTGGGTTCAATACCCAGCACCACCTGAGCCCTGACAACCACATGTAACTCCAGTTCAAGGGAATCTGGTGTCCCCTTCTGGCCTCTGTGGGTACTGCATGCATATGGTACTCAGCCATTCATGAAGGCAAAAACAGCCACACAGATAAAAAAAAACAAAAAACAAAAAAACTATTTTTCTTAATTAAAGAAAATTGTTCTTAAATCAATGGTAGTGAAAGCTACAATGGTGTTAGAAATATACTGTGACTTGTGTGTCCAATGAATTTTATTTCAAGAAAGCTGTTTTAAGGAAATCAGTGAGTTGGTTCAATCTGTAACATGCTTGCATTGAAAGTATGAGGACTGAGTTCGATCTCAGAAACATCCAGGCTCGGTGGCACATGCCTATGATGTCAGTCTGGAGAGGGAGATCCCTGGAGCCTACTGCCCAACCAGCTCAGCTCTCCTTGGCCAGTTTTGGGTCAGTGACAGTCCAGGTCTCAAAACAACAACAACAAAAAAATGTACATGGAACTGTGAGGTGGATCCGAAGGTGAAGAGGCTTGCTTGCCAGCACACCTAAGGAACTGAGTTAGATTCCTTTGCCCCACACGGTGGAAGGAAATAACGAACTCCTGCAAATTGTTCTCCAACCTCCACAATGTGACACACACACACACACAAACAAATAAATGTAATTTAAAATTTTTAATGTGGATGTTACATGAACCATACCCAAGACTGTCCTCTGGTCACATGCATGCACATATGTGCACATGAACCTGCACACACATGAACACAGTAGCGAGACAGAACACAGTAGAGAGAAGAAGAGATATTGAGACACAGATAGAGAGAGAAATAAAACAAAATGCAGACAGACTAAAAATACAAACAAAGAACAACAACAAAAACCCATGGCCTCCCTTCATGGCAAGGATTGTCCCTGGGACTCTACTCACCTGTGCTCTCTGTGTTGCAGGTCATAGAGATGGACTGGACCCTCAGTCCATTAAAGACAGTTGTGACGGTGGCTGTGTAGGATTGAGCTGGGCTAAGATCTGACACAGACACACCCTTCTCACACAAAGATCCATCCTGGGTGCTCCGTTGCCTGCCCACTTCCACCTCAAAGGTCTCATAACCTCCAGATGGGCAGGACCACTTCAGGATGACACCATAACCTCCAGAGGTGCTGATGCAAGAGATGATGTTGACAGCAACTGGTGCTGAGTAAAGAAAACAGGAGGAATCAACAGTAACCACCAAATGTGGTTGGTTTTGTACACCCACCTCTTTGAGCTAGCCCACCCCTTCCTCTCCAAACTCAAACACCTCATCTTCTTTTGTCCTCCCTCCCCTACCTTAAAAAACTAAAGTCCTCTCAGACTACAACCCCCATAATGCCTTGGACTCTGTACCACTGAGTGTGTAACCCCCATGGCATTATGGAATTGTAGTCAACTCACATTTTTTCCTCTTTAGAAATACTTTAGGTATGTGTATGTGTCATTGTCTATGTAGGGATATGTGTATGTCGGTAAAGTGCCCACTGATGCCAGAAAAGAACGTTGGGTCCCCTCTGCCTAAGTTAAAGGTGTTTGTGAGCCACTGGATATAAGTGGTGGGAACTGAACTCTGTAAGAGCAGTAAGTACTCTTAACTGTTGTCTTCCAACTCTGCCACTCCCTTCTTCCCCATAAGGTTGAACCTAAGCCCATTCTATCTACAAAGAGAATAGGGCATCTCACCTGTGGGTACCTGAAGGCTCTGTATGGAACTGGGCACATGGTTCCTTTCTGCCCACACGCTGAAGTTGTACAAAGTGCCAGACCTGAGGGCCGTGACCTCATACCAAGACTCATTGGTTTTAGCTTTGGATTTGGCTCCATGTCCTACAGGATCTTGCTTTCCCTGGGGCTCCTCTTCACTGGCCCAATGGACCCAGTAGGTGTAGGTATGAGAATAGGGGCCATCAGGGGGATTCCATGTCAGGGTCACTGAGCTGTTGGTAAGGCTTTCATTCTGTAGATGTGTCACTTCATTGGGAGCTGAAAGTAAACAGAGCCCCAAGGGTTATGGCCGCAGAGATACCTTTCCCCAGCCAATCATGGTGTCGAACACTTGAGCCTGGTGGGAGGCTGAGGCAGGTGATGCACCGTGAATTCAAGGCTAACCTAAGCCACATTGTAAGAGTCTGTCTCTGAAAGAGAAAGAAATAAATGCCTCCTCAAGCTTGCTTCCTTTCTCTTCATGGTGATGTTCAGCTGCTCTAATCATAGTGACGCCAGTAAGAGAACGGAGCCACAAGGAAGAACTAGAAACAGGGTGTGGACCAGGCTCATCTGAGTTCTCTCTGTCTGGTGACGATAGCTCTAGGTCTCATTCAAAAGTCTCCTCAACTACCCTTGGAGCCGTGGAATCTCCATATCTCAACATATAAAGCCTTGGCTCCCTGGCATAATGGGATTTGTGGTCCAGTTACCTTTCCTGCCCTACAAAATCTAACCTTCTCTAAGTACCTGTCCCACATCCACCCAAGGACAGGATCCTTTCTCCCTCTTAGACACACCAAGTGGTTAGAGGGAGCTACTCATTTTGGTATTCTCAGCCCTGAAGTCCACAGACTTCTACCATCAGCAGTGAACCAAATCTCTGGAGTGATTTTGGCTCTCCTCGTGAATGGAACCCACCATGTGTAGGCTGAGGCAAGGCATCCTTCACACATCTGTTTCAATAGAAGCAGCTCCTGGTGATACTGTTAGTTTCTGGGGAGTGCTGCTGAGTCTTCCTGACTCCAAAAAGCCCATTTCCCAAGATTTTTTTAAAAAGACCCTTAGTTTTGAAATCCCTGCTGGCGGAGGAATGACAATCTTTAGGAACGAAGGGACTTAGGAATTCTAACTATGATGATATCCACTTAGTGGTTTGAATGAAAATGGCCCACAGCGGCTCATATGGCTCATACGTTTGAATGCTTAGTCCTCAGCTGGTAGACTGGGAAAGATTAGGAGGTGCCTCAGTGTCACTCAGGGTAAGCTTTGAGTTTGCAAAAGCCCAAGCTAGGCCAAGAGTCAGTCTCTCTCTCTCTCTCTCTCTCTCTCTCTCTCTCTCTCTCTCCTGCCAGCTCACCATCGACCCTCAGATCAGGATGTAGTTCTCAGCTACTTCTCCAGCGTCATGTCTGCCTGTGTCCTGTGTGCTGTCATGCTCCCCACTGTGGTGATAACAGCCTAACTCTGAAACTGTGAACAAGCCATGAACTAAATGCTTTCTTTCATAAGAGTTGCTTTGGTCATGGCACTTGGGAGGTGGAGACAGGAGGATCAGGAGTTCAAGGCCAGCTAGGACTACATAAGACTCTGTTTCAAACATAAGGCTTGTGTGTGTGTTTCTCACCTGTGGAGGTGTTTAGGGTCTTCGGGAAGCTTGAGACTCCGTTCTTATTGGCCCACACAGAGACGCTGTACACGGTCCCAGCCTCAAGCTTCTCAATTGTGATGCTGGTGTTTTCTACATGTTGGGTCTCACTTCTGTCCCCATTTCCAGTGCACTGCACGCTGTAGTTATAACCTTGAAAGTCTGGACCCTGGGAGGTCCCCCAGCTCAGGGTGATGGAATCATTAGTCTGAGTCACCAGAGACAGGTTCATTACTGGGTTAGGGGCTGAAAGAAAAACAAGAATAATTCAAACTGAGCGGGGATCAATGAGTATCTCAGATTCCCAGCTCTCCATCAACCGTTTGTTCATGCAGATTGGGGTGACTAGTTTAGCCTACTGCTTCTCAAATACCTGTTGTTATTTCTTACTGCTTTTTGAGTTGTTTGTTTTGTTCTTCCTGTTTTGGAAAACTCAGGCTGACCTCAAACTTGATGAAGAAGCCAAAAATAACCTTGATCTTCTGGGCCACCTTTCTCAACTCCCAGGTGCTAGCATCACAGGCGTGTATCACTATGCCTGGTTCAACATGGTACTCCTAAAGCTTTGATTAGACTGTGAGATCAGAGCCTGCATGGATGGAATCAGTGTCTCAATACGAGGCAAAAGGAAGCTAGCATTCACTGCTTTAAATGCTGTCCTACTGTCTAGCATGGTGGATATGCATCCAGCAGAGGGGTGGGAGATAAATTTGAAATATTATACAAGCTCAACTGCCTTAAATTCAAGTCACTACTAGTGGCAATTCTCCTAGACAATGGCGTCCAGCCAGAGGGAACTGTCTACCTCCAGCTGATGCCACTGGCTTCCTGAGCATCCACCCTCAATGTGTGACACAGAGGGACAGGGTGCAGAGTGAGCTGAGTATGCCTCTAATAGCAGAACCTTGGAAGCCGATGAAGGAAGATCAGGAGTTCAAGATCATCCTTGGCCACCTAGCTGATTGGAGGTCAACCTGAACTACATAAGACCCTGTCTTAATAAACACAAGTGCTGGAGAGAGGGCTCAGCAGGTAAGAGCAATTGCTGCTCTTACAGAGGACCTGGCTTCAGTTCCAGCACCTGCACTCTGGCTCACAATCATCTGTAACTCTAATCCAGTGGATCCCACCTCCACAGGTACCAGGCAACAGGTGGAACACATCCATACATCCAGGTAAAATACATATCTAGGCATACATGAATTAATAAAATCAATAAATGTAAAAACAAGCAAAAAAAAGTGAGCTAAGGAAGTGGTTCAGTCAGGAAAGTGCTTGCCACACAATATTGCAGCACTGAAGACGTGATGGTTCACAACCATCTGTTCTGGGCGACCTAACACCTTCTTTCTGCCTTTCAGAAGGCATCATACATACATACATACATACATACATACATACATACATACATGTAAGCAAATCACTCAAATGCATAAAATAATAGTAAACAAAGCTAAAATAGTAAGTAAATAAGGGGAGGGCCTCTGAATGGCTCCCTGGGTAAAGTGATTGCCACACAAGCCTAAAGACCTGAGTTTGATTCTGGATCCTTCGGTGGAAGGAGAGAAGAGCATTCTGGGAGTTTCTCTGACCTCTACATGGGTTTTGTTGCACAGACATACCAAACTCACAAACAGGCAGTGAAACCTAACACATTTTTAATTAGGGCTAGTGAGCTGGCTCAGCGGGTAAAGGTGCTTGCTGGCAGCCTGACAACCTGAATGTGGTCCTTGGGAGCCAGAGGTGGAAGGAGAGAACTCCTGAAAGTTGTCTTCTGGCCTACACATGGAGGCTATGGTATGCATGTACTCCCCCCTCCACACACACAGAGAATAGGCAAACGTACAGTAGCATTTGTGATTTTAAATGATTTTTAAAATAACTTGTTGTTGCTGCTGTTGTTTTGAGACAAGCTTTCTCTGTATAGCCTGGTGGTCCTGGAACTTGGTCTATAGACCAGGTTGGTTTCAAACTCATACCCAGAGATTCACCTGGGTATGCCTCCTGAGGGCTGGGATTTAAGGTGTGTACCATCACCCAGCTTTAAATATAGCTTTCAGTTTAAAAAAGTAAGTGAAAAACAATTGAGGAAGGCACCCAGTGTCAGCAAGTGGCCTCCACGTGCACATGGATCCAGGCAAGCACGCATGAAAATGACACGCAAAGGTTCAGAGCACAGAACTTAGAGAGTGAAGTCTCAGAGGTCACTGATTGCACACACCCTAGCTTGAGCAAGGAGACACAGCCTGGTATTCTGGACTGCAGTCTAGTCTTAGCTCCTGACCAGCTTTAATCAGAAGCTGCAACTGCTGTAAACAGCTGATTTTCTGAGCCAAGATTGCCCTAAGACAGATCCTGTTTCCCCCTGCTGATGTCCCAAAGGGACTGTGGACTAGATGGTTGGCTGGAGTCTTCTAGTGATGCTCAGGCATCACTACCAACTGTTTAAAAAAAAAAATGACTGGGAGTACTTAGAAGATGGAGGCCACTTGTTCTACATAGCAAGTTGGTAGAAATCTTGCCTTGCAGACATGCGGCCTTGGGTTCGATCCCCACTACTGCTCTATCAGAGAGCATCTATAAGCATTTATCTATCTATCTATCTATCTATCTATCTATCTATCTATCTATCTATCTATC